ATCTCCTTCTAGCTTTGCTCCCATTGTATTGAAGCATATCTGACTAAAAATTCAGATCTAGGATTTTGAACAAAAATTAAATAATCATATTTAGTACGTGAAAAAAAAAAAAAAAAAAAAAAAACGAGTGTGTAGCAACAAAACACCACACGAAAACACAACGATTGGCCAAAGGAGGCAAACGGCCATTTAATTTAACTTAATTTAATTAAAAAGATCTGGCAAAATGGCCCAAATTTCATGTGAAATGTCACCGTCGCGTCCAATTGAGAATGGCGACGGCCGAACGTTGGCCGTTGTAGTTGGGCATGTCACCTCACAATGGGTTGTGTGCCCTTGTGAAAGCCTCCGACTTTCCCCACCCCTCCACCACCCGCAGGTGAGATGTATCTGATTTGTTTTCTGGCCGGGCTCACACCATGGGTCGGGTCGGGCCCAGAACTTTGGTCATCCATCTCCTTACTTGTTGCTTTTACTTTCAAAGTTGCAAGGGAAGAAAGAAAGAACATTGTTCTTCCTCTCTTCTCTTCTACTAGGGTTTTGAATCTTGATCTTTTGTTCTTGCTTTTCAAATATAATTGGTTAGTAGTAGTTGGGAATTGTCAATTGTGGGATTCAATTCTTTCATTTATATATTTATTGATCTTCCACATATGCATGAACGACTAATGCTAGCATTTCTCTCAAATAAACAACGTGACTTGAAAGAAACTAAAACAATTGAAACGCTGAAAAATGACAGAGCGAATGGTGCAACCTCAATGCTACCTACCTACCTCCATACAAACACACATTGGTTTTGATTGGTTCTTTTGTTCTTGCTTTTCATATATAATTGGTTAGTAGTAGTTGGGAATTGTCAATTGTGGGATTCAATTCTTTCATTTATATATTTATTGATCTTCCACATATGCATGAACGACTAATGCTAGCATTTATCTGAAATAAACAACGTGACTTGAAAGAAATTAAAACAATTGAAACACTGAAAAATGACAGAGCGAATGATGCAACCTCAATGCTACCTACCTACCTCCATACAAACACACATTGGTTTTGATTGGTTCTTTTGTTCTTGCTTTTCATATATAATTGGTTAGTAGTTGGGAATTGTCAATTGTGGGATTCAATTCTTTCATTTATATATTTTTTTGATCTTCCACATATGCATGAACGACTGATACTAGCATTTCTCTCAAATAAACAACGTGACTTGAAAGAAATTAAAACAATTGAAACGCTGAAAAATGACAGAGCGAACGAATGATGCAACCTCAATACTACCTACCTACCTCCATACAAACACACATTGGTTTTGATTGGTTCTTTTGTTCTTGCTTTTCATATATAATTGGTTAGTAGTTGGGAATTGTCAATTGTGGGATTCAATTCTTTCATTTATATATTTTTTTGATCTTCCACATATGCATGAACGACTGATACTAGCATTTCTCTCAAATAAACAATGTGACTTGAAAGAAATTAAAACAATTGAAATGCTGAAAAATGACAGGGCGAATGGTGCAACCTCAATGCTACCTACCTACCTCCATACAAACACACATTGGTTTTGATTGGTTAATACCCAATTAATTATTTTTAATTGATTTCAACTTTTTGGACTTTTGTTATCATTTTTTATGAGAGGAACATGATGATTATCATTTTTATAGTCAAACTTCAAAGATGGCGTCCTCAGACTGTAACGACTTAAATGAATAAACCCTAATTAAACTAGTAAATTAGTAAACCCTAAACCCTACACTAAAAAACGTCTGCATTTTGTAAAAACCTTTAAGAGCGTATTGTTCTATTGTCATACATGTATTGTTTAACAAATGTTTTACGTAAAATTTTTAGATTGTGAATCTGAGCCACAATGAACTATATTTAAATCAAGGGAGCATTATATATAGAGACAAAAACTTTCACTATATAGGAACTCCTCTAGTTTTTAAACATGTCAAGGAGAGGCAAAAATATAAAACAACTAAAGTATGTCATACCGACTTTATTGAAATACCCCGAATCCCGGATCCGGTGGTGGTACATGCCTCCAGCGTTATCGTGACCTCCGGGATCTTTGCGGTGCTTCCCTATACATAGACCGGCGCTAACGCCTCTCTTCTTGCAGCTCTTCTCGAATTGGATCGTCTTTTCTCTCTCTCTCTTCTCTGAGTTTGCCCCTCCTTCACTCACTCACCTAGCTAGGGTTTATGCGCCTCCACCTTTTCAAATATAAGGGTATTTTTGTAACTTACACTCTAGTAAAAAAATACATTAATGATGTCATCTTACACATGTATTAACTTTTGTCTCTCTTTGAAATATTTAAAAAGTATTGTCTCAATATATAATTAAGTATTAAAAGTATACTCAGTGTATAATTTTTCCTAATATTTATTACATTTCTATGTTATTTTTTTATTTTTAAATTTAAAATTGTTGATTAAAGTCAACACTTAAAACAATCTGCCTTCTTGTGTTTTTCAATTCAAAATTGCTCTAATTAACAACATTCAAGGGACTCTAAATCCAAGAACTATTGTAATTTGAAATTCTAATGAAATTCAGTCTATCGTCAATTCTAAAAAAAATTATACATGCAAGTGGCCTTTTACCACAATGGTGGAAATATGGTGAGCCCTTATACAACGATTGGGTTCAAACCCCGTCGATGGCTAATTTAACATCTAATCTAACAAAATCTATCGTTTGAAAAAAAAATCTAAAAAAATTATGAAATTGTAAAAATCAGAAAATTAATGGGATTATAGATTTACAAATCTCACGGATTATGAGATTTTTAAAAAATGTCTACAATAAAAATTGGGCACATATTTCTGCAAATTTAATCGAGTAGTGTTAAGCAAATAATGTACCTCATTAAATTTATTATTATGGGTACATACGAAAACAATATACCTAAGAACTTGACAGAAAAGGTACCAATGAACATAAAAAAATGTATGTACCCAAAATCCATAAATACCAATGGGTACATATACTGAATTTACAAGAAATTTATAATTAACATTGTACTCACATAAAAATAAATATAAGAGAACAAACTCATGGGTACCTGTAAAAACTCAATAAAAAGAATGTACCACATTGTTTTATAAGCATTCTTATGAACACATAAAAATTCAACAACCGAAACCATTTTACCTAATTTTCTCCAAAAGACGTTGTGCCTATATCAATATGTAAAATGAAATTGTAGTCACAAAACATATTGTACCAACAGATATATTTGAATGAAGTAACATGTAAAATAAAATTGTACCCATGAAACATAAAAGTGTAACCCACCATACATTGAACAATCAAGATTAATATTCAATAATAAGTAAAAGAAAAAAAGTTGACTGCATAAATGTAAGAGAGCTTTAATGAAAATGACTCCTCCAGATCTTTTATTAATTATAAACAATCTAATAATTGTGTTTATGAAAAAAGCTTAAACTTTAATGAAAAGAATTTAAACTTTAACGAAAATGACAAAAGTTTAACATAATACAAAAAACCGACTCACAAATCTCACGCGTTCCAATTTCCATTACACACACTCTCTCACTCCCTTCCTCACTCCACCCGTTCCCTTCAGTACCGTTTGGTACGTGGGACGGGACGGAACAAAGTGGGACAAGGCGTTCTGTCCCACGTTTGGTGCGCCTAAAACGGGTGGAACGAGCTGTTCCACGGGACGAGTTTTGGGTGAATTTTCGTTCCACCTCACTCCCCTGGAATGACTCGTTCCACATCTGTGGTACACAAAATTATAACATCTCCGTCTCCTTCTTCTTCCTCCTTGTTTCCATCCGAGGGCGTCTTTGCTCTTGCTCCGTTCCGTTCCGTCCTGTCCCGTCCCGTTCCATCCCATTCCGTTCTTTCCAATTCTTAACGCTCACTCTCTCTCTCTCATCTTTCACCTATTCCCATCAATTTTCTCTCTCTACTTTCCTCTCTCCTCACTCATCCAAATCAACTTTCTCTCTCATCTCTCCTCTCACATTTCTTCTCGCATATCGCTTTACTTTCACTCCATAAACAATATTATTTTATTTTATTTTTTGTTTTATTGTTTGTTGATTTATTTGACCATCGATTCATGACTTTCTTAGGACAAACTATAATAATATTACAATACTAAAAATGAAGAAGATTTTCATTTTTCATATTTAAAAACAGTGCTTATTTTAATTTTGAAATAGTGATTTTAATTTCAGTTTGGATAAATTTTTAAGTTTAACATTGATTATTTCTAGATTGAACACTGATTATTTTTAAAATTGAACAATGACTATTTTTTAAACTGAACACTAGTACTATTACTATTTCTTAAACTGAACACTGACTATTTCTTAAAATGAATATGGGTACTATCACTATTTCTTAAAGTGAATACTAGTACTATCACTATTTCGTAAACTTTAACACTGACTATTTTTTAATCTGAACACTGAATTTCTTTAACTGACACTGATTATTTCTAAAATTAAACACGGGTACTATAACTATGTCTTAAACCGAACACTGATACTATCATCATTTTTTAAACTAAACACTGACTCTTTTTTAAATCCTCATTGTTTTTGCTTGGTTGCTTATTTACCTTAAATTTAATAAGAGATGAGATTTCAATTATCAACTAAAATCTAGACAAAGCAATTAATATTAATTACAAAAAAAATTAGGCAAATACTTTAACCAAAAATTTAAAAAAATATAGGCTAGCAAATTGTTTACATATGTAAATTTTTAAATCTAAAATAAGGATGTGAACAAAATCAAAAGGAGACTTTGATAAATAATAATAATAATAATAATACTAATAACAATTAGATTTCAATCAATGACATATAAAAATTAGGAACGACAACCTAAGTTCTTAATAATTTATAAAAGCTCTACACTGCAAAAAAAATAAATAGAATCATTAATTCCACTAAACCCTGGGCCCGGGCTGATCTTATATATAAGGAGTATCCCAGAACAACACAAACAAACATTCATATACATTTCAAAACGAAGACGAAGAAAAAAATGTTAAATCTCCTGAGTAAAACCTTGTCAAGCTTGTTGGAAGATTTTTCCTTCAAGTATTTAGTATTTTTGGCTATATTCCTCATACTGATATACAGATGGTTCTCCAGATCCACAAACTCATCACCACCTTCTCCACCAAAGCTCCCTGTCATTGGAAACCTCCACCAACTAGGCCCGCACATTCATCGCTCACTGAACTCCTTAGCTCAACGTCATGGACCTCTCATGCTGCTCCATTTTGGAAGCGTACCAGTCCTTGTGGTCTCTTCGGATGATGCTGCCTGCGAGATCATGAAAACCCATGATATCACATTCGCCAACAGACCCAAGAACATCTTCTTTAAGAAGGTTTGCTACAATTTCAAAGACGTGGCCACGGCACCTTATGGGGAGTATTGGAGGCAGGTGAAAAGTATATGTGTTTTAAATCTCTTAAGTAACAAAAGGGTTCGCTCTTTTCGTATTGTGAGAGAAGAAGAAACCGAATCCTTGATCACCAAGATAAGGCAGTCGTCAACATCAACATCATCAGTTGTGAATTTAAGCGAAATGCTTGCGACGCTTACTAATGATGTGGTGTGTAGAGTGGCAATGGGGTCGAAATACTGTGATCGCGGCGAACGTGGAAAGGTGTTTAAGGAACTTACTTCGGAGTTGTCAATCTTGATGTCACGTATCCATATTGGAGACTATATTCCATGGCTTGCTTGGGTCAGCCGTCTCAATGGTTTGGACGCCAAGTTCGACAATCTGGCTAAACGGTTCGATGAATTTCTTGAAATGGTCGTTCAAGAGCATATAGGTGATGCTCTTATCAAGAACAAGGACCAAAAGGATCTTGTGGACATTTTGCTTTGCATGCAGAAAGAAAGAGGGGATGATTCTCTTATTGATGGAGTTAGCATAAAGGCTATTATCTTGGTAATTATTTCTCTCTCTCTCAATCTTTTGTTACATGCGTACATAGTTGTCTCCCTAAATGAGTTCCTAACTAAAATTTAGCTAAGAAGGGTTTAGAGAATTTCATTATCAATCACACTTACCAACATGTTCCTAGAATAGTGAAATTTCTAGGAGCTCCTAAGGGCTCCTACCATTAATTACTATTTTTTTAATTGACCATAATATTATGACTCTCTAAAGTAAAGAGTAAAATGAAGTAGAATTTTATACGGAGCTACTAAAATAGCTTTTCAAATTTTTAGCTAAAATTTAAATAAAAAATAGAGAGCATGATTGGAGATGCTCTTAGATTATTGTTATCTATTTTACAATAATAATATGCTAGAATGACAATGTTTTAAAGGGCTGATGCAATAGTACATTTGCCATGTGGTCATATCTTTGAGTATCTCTATGGAGATGTCAAATGTGAAACATCAAAAATGATATTTGATGGTTTATGTGACAATTTGATATTTTGACCAATTTTTTGCTCCACCCAATTGTTAAATAAAAATGTTATTCTATAAGTATTTTTTTCATCTCTTTGTGGGGTCCAACTATTAAGATAACCAATCAAATATTTAGAATACACAACACTATTTATTATGAATTGCATCACACCTATTACAAAATTATTGAATTAATTTGATTGCAGCTGTCAAATTTGACTCAACTCCACGTAAGCAATTGAAGGCTCTGTTGAAGAGTTTACTATTATTTTTTTATCGTTTTATGTCTAATGTGGCAATTTTGATATTCCCTTATTTGCTAGAAGTTAATAAGTTTTGGGTATATTAATATGAACAAATAGAATAGCAGGGAGATGCCATTTCCACTTTATTCACGTTCCACTCTTTTAGAGTATCTTGCACTCATTTCTAATGTAAGATAACTCTTTTAGAATACTAGTAATTTAGGAAAGAGTGTAAAAAATAAGAACGGAGGAATGCAAAGTAATCTTTTTGAAGTGATAATGACAATTTTCATGAAATATACCACAAAGCTGATAATTCAAACTCAGCTATATATTAATTTTCATCAAATATCATATAAAGTCTTAACCACTGCCAAAATCATAAGTTTCACCCTATAGATGTGGTATGAAAATATGACAAACATAGTTTTATTGCTTCATCCTTTAGTATCTAAGAGGAAAGATTGTCCTCATTATATAAATACTTAATTGGATATTTTGAATGAAACTACATATATAAACATTTTACTCGAGAAAAGATGTACTTTTGAATCATATAAGTAGCTAGGTGCTCAAATGTTAATTTAATCAAATTTTGTTCATTAACATTCTTGTAGGACATGTTTGCGGCTGGCACCGAAACCTCATTCACACTCATAGAATGGACGATGTCTGAGCTTTTAAGACATCCAAAGATCATGGAAAAACTTCAGAATGAGGTAAGGGGAATTGTCGGCAACAAAACGGACATAATTACAGAGGGTGATTTGGTTGGGATGCACTACTTGAAAGCCGTGATCAAGGAAACTCTTCGCCTGCATCCTCCAATACCATTACTACTTCCCAGGATGTCGTCTCAAGATGCAACGATAAACGGTTACAGCATTAAAGCCAACACACATGTTATTGTGAATGCCTGGCAGATTGGAAGAGATCCAAAGTCATACAACAACCCGGAAGAGTACGAACCAGAAAGGTTCTTGAATAGTACACTAGATTATAAAGGAAATGACTTCCACTACATTCCATTTGGAGCTGGCAGACGGGGCTGCCCAGGAATCCAGTTTGCCATGGCTGTCCAAGAGATTGCTTTGGCAAATTTAATGCACAAGTTTGATTGGGCACTGCCTAATGCTGCAAGAGGGGAGGACTTAGACATGACTGAGTCCACTGGAGCAAGCGTTTGTAGAGTATATCCTCTTAAAGTCGTTGCTCTTCCATATTCGGGCTAATGTAGTATTGGAGAAACCAACACAATCATCTGTACTGGAATATTTCATATTTTATTTAACAATTCTGTAGAAATTTGGTTTAAGTTTCTGGTATATTTCATGTTTTGTGTGAATGTACATTAACACATATAAAGGAAAAGAGAAGGAGAGGTTACAACCAACCATCCTTAGACTAAACCCTAGAGACCGGATAAAGCTATACCCTAACAAGGACTCCTTAATTAATTGGGAATTTTAATGAAAAGCTCATGTTACTGTTCACTTTAACGAAAAACAACATTTTTACACCAAAAAGTCAATCATAGTACTATTCACTTTACCCTTTATTTTGTCCTTATCATTAAAACTCAAAGTTTTTAAACCATTTTCATTAATTTTCCTTTAATTTAATGGATGACATCAAACAATTCTAAGAAGTGATCTACACGTTACTAGTCAGCAGCCAAAGTTGACAAAAAAGTGCCATGATGTTGACACAAAAAGTGACAAGCAGCCAAAGTTGACAAAGGGTGTCATGATTTCTGATTTCATATATGTCAAGGATTTGTAATTCCAATACTCCCCCTCAAACTGGATCGAGGAGAATAGTTTAGCCAACCTTGACTAGGAGACGCTGAAATTGTGCAGACGATAGAGCCTTAGTAAACACATCTGCCATTTGATCATAACTGCGAGTGAAGATCATTTGAATGAGTAGTGATTGAACTTGAGCCCTGATGAGGTGGCAGTCAACTTCAATATGCTTGGTCCTTTCATGAAAAACTGGGTTGGCAGCAATGTGCATGGCTACTTGATTATCATGCATAAGAGACATGGGAGCTGACTCGAGAACCCTAGGTCAGACAAGAGACCTTTGAGCCAAATTAATTCATATGCAGTGGCAACCATTGCTCGATACTCATCTTCAGCACTAAAGCAGGCAACTTGTTTCTTGCTCTTCTAAGTGACAATGTTGCCTCCAACAAATGTGCAATAACCAGTGGTGGATTTTCTGTCAAGGGCACTGGCTACGCAGTCAACATCAGTGTATGCATGAATCTCAGTGGACTGGTTGTTACGCATGAGGATGCCCCTAGTTATGGACCCTTTGAGATAGCATAGGATCTTTTTAACAATATTGAGATGTTGTACTGTGGGTGCATGCATGAATTGACTGACCAAGCTGATAGCAAAAGTAATGTTTGGAAGAGTAATGGTAAGATAGATTAGCTAACCAACCAATCTTTGATAATATGTGACATTCTTGAGTGCTTCGCCATCTATGGTAAGCTTGAGTTTACTGTCAATTGGGGTGACGACTGGCTTGCAATCAGTGAACTCAGCTTCCTTGATGAGATCCATGACATATTTTCGTTGGTTTAAAAGTAAACCCCATTATGAGGTTTCCATTTCAATGCCAAGGAAATACTTCAACTTCCCAAGGTCCTTGATGGCAAAGGTTTAATGTAAGGAGGCTTTCAAGGCTTCAATTTCAGATGCATTGTCACCTGTGATGATAAGATCATCTACATAAATAAGGATAACCAACTTCCCATTGGATCCATTTCGTACAAATAAGGAATAGTTAGCATTGCTTCTGAGAAAACCCTCATTTTCCAACACTAAACTAAGTTTGGCATACCAAGCTCTTGGTGATTGTTTCAAACCATAGATTGCCTTGTGTAGTTTGCACACCATACCATCTTTTGCTTGAGGGTAACCTGGGGGAATTTGCATGTATACTTCCTCCTGAAGCTCTCCATGAAGGAAAACATTTTTAACATCCATCTGGTATAACGATCACCCACAATAGACAACAACAGAAAGTAACACATGCACTATGTTCATTTTTGCCACTAGGGCAAAAGTTTCCTTGTAATCAACCCTAAAGGTTTGAGTAAACCCATGAGCAACAAGCCTAGCTTTGTGTCTTTTGTTTTTTAGCCATTAGTTTTGAGCTTAGTTTTGTAAATCCAACGACTCCCAACTGCCTTCTTTCCTGGAGGTAATTGAACAACAATTTAAGTGAAATTCTCCTCCAAAGCTTGAAGTTCTTCAGACATGGCTTTCCTCCAGTAAGGGATAAGGTTAGCTTCTAGAAGGGTAGTAGGTTCTACAAGATTTGAGACCTCAGTAACGAATGCAACATGTGAATTTGAAAAACTATGATTACTTATTGCTTTAGAGATGGGATATCTAGAAGCATAAGTAACATAATCTACAAACTTGGTAGGGGCATTCCTTTCTCAAGTTGGGTTCCTCCTAACTTCTTGAGAAGGTTGATGAGTTAGGTTGATAGACCGTTAAGCTTATGGTTTCTAACATGACTTATTGCTCTTGATTGTTACTGCCTTGTAAAGAATCATCATCAGTTAAAGGCTTAGTGCACATAGGCAATGGAAATAAATCACACAGAAGCTCCCCCCTCACATGAAGTATAACCCATTTTTTTTGAAAAATGGAGTCTCTTCCTTAAAGTGAACGTCGCTGGATACAACACACTTGTTAGTGACAGGATTAAAATATTTATATCCCTTTTGAATAGAGGAGTATCCCACGAACACACATTTCACAGCCTTAGCATCCAATTTGTCACAATGTTGAGTTTGCACATGTACAAAACAAGTGCAACCGAATACTTTCAAGTGTGACAGGTTTATAGGTCTGTCTTTAAGGGTTTCATATAGTGATCTGAAACCTACACCCCTTCACTGAACGCCAAGCCAATCTCCATTCAAATGGAATCAACTCGATCATTCAAGTCGGATAGCATTTATCAATGCCGACCTACATTAACCACTTTCTTCTCTTATGATTTATCGAGTTACAGGAGAATCGAGTGACTTTATCTTAGATTATATAAGTCTAAGAGAGAGTTATTATAGATTTAACACTAACCCCATTAGGCAAGTGGAGTAGAATCAATCAAGTGGCATACCTTGAATCTAGCCTACAATCCTTTCGTTCTTCTTTCAATTGATAGTTAGTCGGGTGTATCTTGTTCAAGAAAAAGCTCTTTCTTTTGGTGAATATCCGTATACCCGAAAGTTACAGCTAAAGATGAATGTCGAGAATCGTACATTGTACAAGCTTAAAATCAAAACCACAATGAGAGATATTCGATCCCAGAATTAGCTCTATCCCACCTCCAATGAGATGTGTTAAGCATATACTGACTTTTTGTCTTGATTTAAGAGTTAGCCCTACTAAATAGGGCATAGCGTTGTGCTCAATAAAAGTGTTCCTTCCTTCTTGATGTGAAACTCTCGTCGATGGGACAAGATAAAGATTGCCTCTATGCTTCGAACCTTTTTCCTTTAAGAAAGAGGGCAAGATCACTCCTAAAAGCAACCGTGATCTTATATACCATACCACTAAATGAAACTTCTTTCCTGCTTAAGGCACTACTTCTGATGGAAACCCTGATCCAGCGGATGGCCTAGCTCGTTTCCTAGATCCTCTATTTTATCATAAGGCCCTAACTTTCCACATGTACTAGGGGGTATGGCTAAAATCCTTGATCCGGTGGATGCAGTTGATCTTAGGCTTTTGTGTATGACCCTATCAATAAAGATAGATCTTTCCTCACCCAAAGACATCCCCTACTAAATGGGGGGGAGATTGAATGAGCTATCCTTATGTAGATAGATCGATTAAAGGACCCCTGCTTATGATCGAGTCTGTCGATAGAGTCATGCCTTGCATAAGTACTCTATTGGAGAAAGGGCAAATCCATCCCCCTTATTCCTTCGTTCTCCTATCGTATGGATGTCTGTTTTCCCTCTTAAGTCCCTTTAATGTTGTCGCATTGTTGCCCTTTTCGGTATGGTCCTTCATTCAATACCAAAACTTTTTAGGTATATTCATATACAACATGAGTTCACAAGTCTTCTCAAGTAAATCTCTATTCTTCCTCTTGGCTATCCCATTCTGTTGTGGGGTTCCCACACAACTTGTTTGATGAATAATTCCTTATGAACTTAATTATTGAGTCATGATATTGGACAAAAACTCAGTGTCATTGTCTGATCTCAATGTTTTAATAGTTGAGTGAAATTGTGTTACAACCAACTTATGAAAATCTTTAGAACAATAGTTAGGACTTCACCTTTAGATTTCATGAGATAAAGAAAAGTAACTCAAGTGTAATCAGCCACAAATATGACAAAATACTTGTAACCCTCAATTGATTCAAAAGTTGGACCCCATACGTAGTGTGTACCATTTCAAATGGTGTGCTAGACTTAGACATTGAAGAGCCAAAAGGCAGTCTAGCAAATTCAGAAAACTGACAAGTATCACATGTAAAAGATGGGTGACAAAACATGGGAAATAGTTTTGACAAAATAAATTTGGATGGATGAGCTAGTCTTTGATGCCAAATTTGTTGATCATGGGGTTTACTTGAATTTGCTTGAAGAGCTTTAGGTAGATGGGACTTCTTGCAAAAATAATACAGGCCATTTAGAAAGAAATCTTCACCAATCATCTTCTTGGTGATACAATCCTGAAATATCACATTAGTTGGTGAGTAAATGGCAATGCATTTTAAAGTAGACGTGAGCTGCCCTATGGAAAGTAATTTAAATGGGAAAGATTGAACATATAGAACACTAGACTTAATGTTATGTGACATCTACCCATCAACGAGACACTTTTTCCATTTGCAATTGACACTTGAGAGGGTTTTGAAAAAGGATGAAATCATGCAAGTTTGAGACTTTATTTGTCATGTGATTAGTGGCACTTGAGTCAATTATCCAACAATCAAGTTCAACACTAGTTTGGAATGTAGTGGAGAAAACATTAAGGATAGTTGAAGCTTCATCAAGAGGAACATGGTCACGGTCAGCAAGGAACCCAACAAACTGGCCAAGAAGTGCAATGTGGTTCTCACTTTCAACCTTTGGAGTTGATGCAGCTTCTCCATGTCCTTTACTTTGTAGATAAGCTGCAAATTCATTGATAAGTGACAAGGGGTTTGTAGTGAAGTCTACTGAGCCATGGTTGAGTGAGCTCGATGCATGATTCGTAGTGTGTTGTGCTTTGTAAGGAGTTATCTATGATGTTTTGGAAGTGATCAACCTAATGTTCTTATTGAACT